CAATGCAATAGGGTCAAAACAGGGACTATATATATATATATATATATATATATATATATTTTTTTTTTTTTTTTGTTTTTGCAAGGATAATTTAAAATTAAACCAGGAATTGAAAACTAGCTGATCTGGTGTTTGTGTGTGTAAAAACATTTTAAAATTGAAAAATTGTGACTAAACAGTGAACTTTGTATGAGTGCGCATGCATGCATCAACTATTGGGGATATGTATTTTTTTTTGTTCCTAAGTGGGCTGGAGATAAGCAGGGTACCCGTTCCCCCTTTCACACTGCGCTGGCGTCCATGCCGTTTCAGTGGCGGTGCTGTTGCCAGTGTTCAGTTTGGTTCGGCTTGCGCAGCTCAGTTCAGCCTCTCGCTGGCAAAGAGCCGACAAAAGCGGGCCCGACAAAACGTCCATATATCTGCATGTCCTTCTGTCGTTCAAGCAACATGTTAGTCGAGTTCGCTGGCCTCTTATTGCAAAATGGCAGTTGGGACGCGCAGTCGCCGCCCCCAGCCTGACTCACAGTTTAAATGCAGTGTTTTTCTAAAATGGTGTCAGCACCATCTGGGTGAGTCTGTGATTTCCTCTGTGGTGCTATTTGACATTGACACGGCATGCCGCGGAGATTTTCGACATCTATTCTGTGTCGGGGGAACAAACCGACATGCCGATCCGCATTATGATTGCAAATCAATAACTTAGGCCGCATTGTACGGTGGTCCTCCTCATCGAAAAAAATAAAAACTCTCACAGAGTATATTCATGTGATTCCAACATTGAAATACGATAAATGAAACATGGCCATGCAACTATTTTTTTTAAGGTGATTCACGCATGCCCTTTATGTGTACATCCATGATCGTGATCCGTTAGCAGTTAGCACAGAGCGAGGTCGCTGCAGATCTCCAAGTCACTTGCTGTTGAGAAGTCACACATTTACTCAACAACTCTAGAAGATAGCTTGCGTGACATAATCGCTTTGACTTGTGGCTCATTAGCCATCAGGTTTCGTCCCGAATGAGAATTCGTATCGGTAGAAGCATACAACGTTGTGCAAAGCAGTCACTACAACAGAATTTTGCAATACTATAATAATAATAAATATACTTGGGACACTGAGTTCTAGCTTAAATTTTCAATGAAAAAAATGGGCACGAGTCCACGGCTTGCCGCATGTTCTGATTAAATTACTCTTCATTTGAAAAGAAACCAATATGCTCACACAAAGGTGAAACGCTAATGCGAGTGAAATTACCTCAGAACAAAACAATGACTCAATGTTTTGCGGTCCTTTTGACCGCATAGCAATACTCGATATCTTTTTAACTTCAAATGACTTCATGAATTACGATAAAATGCATCTATCGATGAACTAAAAGATGCATTTTATGTCAATGAACAAGAGAATGTCAATAAGCTTGTTTTCTATTGTGTAATAACTACACACACTGTCGTTTTTGTATGTCCCATGTGTGCCTTTCAGAGGTGTGGCCTAGTAAGTGACATCAAGAGCAGCACGAAGCCGGTTACTTCCGTGTGAGCAAGGGCGTGAGTTGTGACCGAGAGCAGTGTTCGAATTAGGTATTTATTGATTTGACAGTTTTGCTTAATAATCTCTTTCGGGGTTTTTTTTTTCCAATTGACTCAAGCAGCTTTGGCTCACAGCACAAATCCAAAATGTGACCAAGCGATTGCTCACAACTCAAAAAACTAAAAATTGGGACACTTGATTGGCAAGGTACCGCAGTATTTTAGACACACACTCATGTTTACTGTCGCTTGTTTCTTCAGGATTATTGATGCACTACCGGGTCATACGGATGATTTTCATCTTGCTATTGTGAACACTCATCCCGTAAATCTCATGGATAGTTGGACGGCTCGTTTATACTGCACGCAAATGTTTGACACAATCTCTTCAGTCCACAGTATGAGCGAGTGTCTCCAAACTTTTGAGTGGTTCTGTATTGGTCGGCACATTTTCAATCATCACACTTATCTGTGGCGTTTATCCTCAGGAAAGACAAGTTCTGTTGCTTTCATATTGAATTTTTCCATGGTGCCTATTTGTCAGGTTCAGGGTTAAAATCGCAAGTGTTTCAGTATGGCCTTGAGATCGGGCCACAATCAGATATGTGGGGGATAAAAACGATACGTTTTGTACCCAAGGACAGCAGTGATGAATGATGTCATCCCGATAAGGTGAGACACAACTTTGTCTTCCACACCATGTAGGCAATCACGTTCATGAAACTAAAAGCCACATGCAAATAGCGAGTTGTGTTTTGTTCCCGATTATCAGTGCTCAGCTGGAGAGTATTAGCATTTTTTTTTTCCATTTTGTTCATCAAAAGGTCGGATCACACATTGAGACAAAGACCTTTTAGTGGAGGCTTGGCTCGGCCGCCTATCCTAAACGGGCTTTCATTAAGCGCAGTGGCGCAATAATCTTGAAACGAGAGATGAAGTGATGGGGAGACGAGATAAAGACATGCGGGGATTTCTGCAAAGCTTCTGCCGTTAGTCTGGAGGCCCACCGTCCAGCCAGTCAGTCACAGAGAGAGAAAGCCGGAACATTTGCCATCACACTCCAAATCAAGCAGGAACAAATCGAAATAAAACTCAATATTCTGCTGATCTTCATGGACTCGAGAATGCCATTTTCTTTGCTGCGACTTTGCTTTCGTATATGATCTCGTCGTCGACTTCAATCTCCCACGCAGTGATAAGGGGCGGCCCTGGCCACCCTGTTGCTCCGCCTCTGCCTCTCTCGTCTCTTTCCCTGCTCACTTTTCTCTCAGCACCTTGGACAGTAATTGAAACTCTATAATGCCTTTCTGGAGCCATTTCCACGACACTGCAAAGTGTACACGCATTTGGTCTTTCACAATTTATGTATTCAAACAGCTAAAAGAGGATAGCAAGCTCAGAATACAACATGATTACATCCAGCATGCATAAATCATCACGAATCATCACTTACTCCGCCAGCGCGGCCCCAGCACAGCTCTTAACACACTGCTAATAATGGACTGTTTGCAGCCATTTTCGAACAGGGGATGCTGCGTTTTTTTGTTTTTTTTAACTCTGATCTAGCTACGGTCCGTTTAACAGCGCCATCAAATGTTCAATTGTTCTCTCCAACCCTGAAGATGGGTGTACGTACGCTTGAGTAGCACAATACCGCCACCTACAGTAACGCCTCGACCACACAACAGCGAAGACATAGCTCTCTGCGCAATGAGGACATTGGAACCTCCAAAATCAAACCAAATCTGTCTGTCTGACTTTAAAGTCATCATATCGCGCGATTCCGAAAGTCATTGACACCGCCCTAAAATGTTTTAGAACTAACTACACTTAGATGCCAGAAGATGGCAGCAAAGCACTACAAAAATGCAAATAGGTGAGTTTTACAGAGAGTAAAGATTGGATTCCCTCGCAAAAATCTACAAATAGCTAAAGTCCTGAATCGTGAATAAGTAACGTTTCGTTACCAGTGGAATTTTTTTCAAATACTACTGGAGTTTTAAAATGAATATATCGAGTCAGTAGAAGAATTTTTCCTTGAGTGTGATTCTTGTTTCTTTTGCCTGTAGCGTCGTCTCTCTCACACACACACACGCACGCACACACGCACGCACGCACGCACGCACGCACACACACACACACACACACAAACTCAATGAACTTGGCAGGAAGTGAAATACTATCAAAAAATATGCTTTCTGCAAAGTAAAAATGAAGTTGAAAATGAAGTTTTCACTGCACTGTTAGATTTGCCTTCGAAGTTTCCCACAGTACTTGTTGGTGCATCTCAAAATTAGTTAACCAGGAAACCATAAGGAGAGCAGGTTGGCAGCAGTGTGCAAGTGTGTACATGTAAAAAAAAAAAAAAAAAAAAAAAAAAGTAGGGCTGTGAATCCTGTTTCCTCCATTCCTCAAGCATGGACAGCTCTGGCTCGTATTTGGCTAATTAGGTGCTGCATCCGCATTCATTCAGTCCAAGGTATTGGCACACCCACAGACGTGTACACACACACAGTGTGTGTCTGTGTGTGTCTGTGTGTGTGTGTGTGTGTGTGTGTCTCTCCCTCTCCCTCTCTCTCTCTCTCTCTCTCCCCGAAACACATCTCACCATCCAAGGCAACAGAATTTTGACTCAAGCAACCAATGTTTGTGCCACCGTCCTTCAACTAAAAAGCCCTCTTCATCATTGCCTTTCTATTTGATTTATTTAGTTTCCATTGTTATTGATGAGCACTTTTAACATCCATTCTCCCATGAGAGAATCACCTTGAAAAAAAACACACATAGCACATACGATCAGCTACATGTTGGGCTTTTGTGTATGATGCTCACACATTCCACAATAACACACTATCACATACACACAAAAAAAAATACTTCTTTCACATCACACCCCCCCCCCCCATTCGACTTGTTTTATAGCCTCTCACAATCCTCTTACGGCTGATGACAACGCGGGGAGTACAGAGGGAGCCCAGAAAAGCATCCGCAGCTCTCTTTTCAACGAAACACTTAAAGCAAAGGTTTTCTTCTGACATAACACTTCACAGCAAAGAGGTCAAACCTTGTGACAACATTCCATTTCACAGAGACTGTATTTATGATGGCCTTGTTTAGCGCTGGATCTCATCGCAGGTAAGGCAAAGGTTGTCTCGGAGTCCCCATGACAGCGTGGAGACGAGACGGGCAACAAAGTGCACCATTTGTTGCCCGAAGGGGTACTTTGTGCCATCAATTGCGTGGAGGCCCTTTTTTTTTTTTTTTTTGCACTTCATGAAAATATTCATCAATGTATTGTCTCATCTCCGCTTTGCTACTGAAGGACTCTGATTGCACTCGCTGAAAGGTGTGTCATTTTAGAGAGCATGCTCAAGGATGTGTGAAGGGGGGAAAAAAAGCACCGGTGAGTGCACCCTTGCACGGGCGCGAAGCACACGACAAGATGTTCCAACTTCTACGGTTGTCTTACCTCGAAAAACGAAGGCTTTGCTGCTATTGTGAAGCCCGGCCACTTGGGTAATTCCATAGGTAGCGTTTGCCAAGTCAAGTTCATTGATTATATCAATTTGGTAGTCTTGATCCGTGCCAAAAGCCAAAACTGGCAAAGAGAGAGAGAGGGAGAGAGAAAGCACAGATTTCAGTCAGGGCACGTTATCGCTGCTAAGCTTAAATTGCAGTTGCGTTTAAAGTGGTTTGGAACACATTTCATTGATTTGATTCTTGCAATGAAATTGCACGTCATTGGTCTGCAGCCCACACCTGCGCTCCCTTTTGCAGCATCAGTATTGGGCGCACTGTGCGCGGTCGTACAGAGTTGTCCTTTTTTTTTTTTTTTTTTTTGGTAACCTCATGCAGTCTCTTAGTTTGCCAACGGCAAGTGATTCAAACAAACGCGATCGCATGTTTTCAACTGATCACTTCCGACCGATGAGTGGAGGGGAAAAAAACCAAAACGACGCGAATTTTGCGCCGCTCACAAACAACGAGGTCATCTTCTTACCTGGTTTGGAAAAAAGCAAAAGGTATAACAAAGCCACGGAAATATCCATATCCATGTGTTGGAATTGCGCGATAGAGAGTCCCGAGTGCTGCGTCTCGCTGGATCCACGAGCAGCTTTATTGGTCCGCGTGCGCGGCTCCCACTCCGACTAGACGGGCGAGAACTGAGGAACGGTCCACCACACACGAGCAGGGGATGCTGCAAAGCACAAAAAGCATCGCTCTTGTGTGTTGCGGCGCAGACACGCAGTCACTCCTTCCTCGCACTCACGGGAGAAGATTCCGACGTTGATCCCTTTGGTGAATTGCAGCTGACCTCGGGGAGGGGAAACGTGGAGAATGAAATAATCATTCAGCGGAACACCCCCCACCACACACCCCGCCGCCACACGTTCCAGTCTTAAAGGTTAATGATAAGAAAAAAAGATTTTTGAAAAAATAACGGTAGATTTGAGGAGAGCCAGATTTAGATTTGCAGTGGTAATCACACCATATCAGTTATGGGTCACCAACATGGTGCCCGGGGGTGCCAGTTAGTCCCCATTAAGGGCCCATTAGTAGCCAGAGGGCCTGTTTCTAAAAATAGCTCACATATGACGGGACAATTGCGATTTGTCAAGAATGTTGTGTCGTAATCATATCAGATGATGATTTAAAAAGCATATGTAATGAATAAAATCATCCATTTGCTCCCGTAATCCTAACAACAGTAAAGATGTGAACTTCAGGCAGAATATTTGGTTGTTTTAAAGCGTTGTCCTTTCGCGTTTGTTTAACTTTACAGAAAAAAAAAAAAAACAGCAAAAATTGGAGAAAAAAAAATTCTTTTGGGGCCGGCAGGACATCGTTATCTTTTTCTTATGATGTAATGTGTAGAAAAGAATGAAAAAAAATATATGGCTTATTTTTGGCAGGTTTTCGGACTATTTTAAAATAACGAATATCAACCGATTCAAATCATGAATAATAGGTAATTGGAGTACATTTGTTATTTCACAAGTGTGGATCAATCTGGCGGCTCCTGTGTGGAGTTTTCGTGTTCTCCCCGTGCCTGCGTGGGTTTTCTCCAGGTACTCTGGTTCCTTCCCACAATCCAAAAACCTGCATGGCAGGTTAATGGAACACCGTCCCTTCGTGTGATTGTGAGCACAAATGGTTGTTCGTTTCTGTGTGCCCTGCGATTGGCTGCCAACCGGTTCAGGGTGTCCCTCACCCTACTGCCCGAAGACAGCTGGGATAGGCTCCAGCACGCCCGCAACCACTGTGAGGATCGGTGGATCAGAAAATGGATGGATGGATGGATCAAACCGGTAGCCCTTTGCATTAATCAGTACCCAAAAAGCCGCTCTCAGCCTCAACAAGTTGGGTGGCCTTGGTCTACAATTTAGTTTGATCCCTTACCTCAGAGTATGTTCACCATTTTGAAAACGACGTGCTTTCCAAAAATTCAGCGTCACATCCAATTCCGCCCCATGCTGTCACGCATCTGTCAAAAGGAACAGTTGGCGCTATCACCTCTTGTCTACGAAGCCATTTTCATCATCTCAAGTTAGAAAACACCAATTGGTTCTCCGGTATCCTTTCCTCGGGGGCTCCTCCACATTGAGAGCCATTCATCACACGTTTCCCCCTGCCAGCCTCTTATTTGTGAACATTGTCGGGTTGTCTGGGTTACCTGTCTCAAACCCAGCTGGCAAGAGAAAGGCCAACACTGTCTGCTTTGTGTTTACGGCGGTCACACAAAGTGATTGGCCTGCTCCACCTGTGAAGGTATGTTCCACATCAGAGATGGTAACATCTGCTTGGGGATGCTGTCAAAGCGTAAGTGCTGTCATAAACAGTACAGTGGTACCACTCCTTACGAAATTAATTGGTTGTGGAAGAAATTTCTTTACTAGAAAACGTAAGTAGAGACGCGTTTTCCATGTAAATGCCCTAATCCGTTCCAAGCCCCTCCAAAATTCAGACATAAATGTTTCCGAAAGCATAAAAATGCATCAAAATATGTAACAAATACATGTTGCAATTTGACTATTGCACAATAAATGAGAGTTGTGCAGAATTAAAAAAAACTAAGAATAAAGAATAAACATGATGCTCATTTTTAACTGCGTCCTTGTCGTTTTTTGCCCTCTTTACTTCATGTTCTCTCTCTCAGAAGTGGGTTTTGCCCGGCGTTTTGTAAAGAACTGATCCAAGGACGTTCGGTTTTGTCGGCTTTGAACAATGCTTCGAAAATTTCCAAGGCAAACATCAGCATAGCGAGCGATCGCCCGACTGGTGAACACTTTTTTCTGGGTTACTCACATTTACGTAAAACTATCCGAACACCTCCTGGGCGAATGACGAGGACGCTGCATCGACACTTATCTTTCTACACACATAGGCACATACGGTATGGGGGTATGGGTAGAATATTAGAAGTAACAGTTTGGGGAACAGTGAGGATGCAAGGGATGAATGGCAAACTTTGATTTGTTTTTTTCCCATTCATTGCTATCAGACTTTTAAGAAGTAAAAGGGATCCAAATTTCCTAATGAAACTATTTTTTTTCTTGCGTCAACAATCACTTTTAAGCACTGTAATCGCATGTTTGTTGACAAAGACTCCCACTTTTTTTTTTTTTTACGCCAGTAAAAGAGCATCTTGATGGCGATGGGTTTTAAACAATAGTTGAACTTAACAAGCATGTCTTACGTAATTAAGGGAGAAACAAAGAAAACAACAAGCCGGTGTAACTTCAAAGGTAAAGCATTTTAAATGTAATATTCCAAATGAGCTATCGCAGACAAGTTGTTGACAAGAGTAAATAAGCTCGTGCTGATTTCCCAGAGCCTTGGGAAAAGCACGTCATTGTTTGACTGTCACAACGTTTCTGCGGCCTGTCACCACTATTTAGCTCACATCAGAGAAATATGGAACGTCACATTGATCTTGAAGTATATTATGTGCAATTGTGTCAATGCCGAGGAGCATTCTTCACGACTCTGGGGAGGAATGCATATGCGTTGACAGATTCAGAGGCGGGAAGAATCTTTTTGGGGGGGGTTTTGTGTGTTTGTGTTTGAACAGAGAACAGCAAAAATCAAAAACTCCTTTTCAGTCAATTGGGTCGGACATGATGTGAGTACCCTCGCTGAAGTGAACACACACTCAGGGAGAGCAAAAATATAGGGGTAAGACTTTCGACATGATTAACTTTACAAGGTACTCCCATTTTAAAGACGATAAATGATGGCAGCACTCAGGCCCGGAAATTCGGATTCCTCAACGATGTGGTCAATGCCTTTCGCCGGCGCTTCTAGTTTATTGATTTTTACACACTGGTAGTCACTGCGGCTTTATCTCTGGAATCATGAATTATACTACATTATAAAATGTCTTTTCATGTCATTGCCACTTATTCAAAGCAACTTATTTTTTGAGGGGGGGGGTTGTCTATCAGTGGTGAGACTGAAAAGAGTGGAGGCTGATTTCAAAGCCAAGGAAGCAACCGAGAAGTAGCTGTAAAGTTTAGGCAGGGATTAAATTTAGATTTTATATGCACATGTGTAAATGCTTTAAAAAAAATCCTCTTTAGAAATCTCGTTTAATCTTAAAATGCATGACTATATTTTTCAATAGCAATTACTTGTTCAAGTTTTGTGCCTTTGTACAATCCGTGGGATCAGTTGCAATGCATGGATGTGAATGATAAAAGTAAATTGCACATTTGTCGAAGGAAATCTAAGGTGCTTGATGAAATGTTTTGTAAAAGATATGCTCATTAAATTGCAACATTTTCTTCATGTTCTTTTGCTTCGCTACACCAAAACAAAGGAAAGAGATGATATTGTGGTTATTTCTAGCAGTGTTTGGTATAATTGTAATGGTCTGGCCCACTTGACATCTACCGAGGCCGTATGCGGCCCACAATGTGAAATGAGTTGGACACCCTTGATCTAGAGGATGAGACATCTGGGCCACCTCAAGTTGGCTATTTTAACAAGCGTTGAAAGAAAAAGCATCACATTTATAATGTCAGCCACAACTGACGTCTGACTGAATGTCAGTAGACGAGAGAACGGGATGCCGTTTATTGTCCCTTGCTTTTGAAGCACAATTGGAAATGCTGCAATGGAAAAAGGTTTGTGACGGAGCTTTTCTCCCCCACCCCAAAAAAAGAAAATTGTCAGCACAAGGCAATTACAGAGTCAAAGAAATTGTTCTTGGCGCCGGGTCACGATGAACATGAATTGTACCTGCAAGACGAGGTTTCAAAAAAGTGAAAAACTTATCAGAAGCTTGGCCCATTTTTACTCTATTTTTTTTTCTTGAAAGCAGAAGGAAAAAAAGACGGGCACAACTGGAAAATTTAGTTACTCTTGAGGGGCTTCCTTTTTAAAACACAATCATCATCATAAGAGTCATTGGATGACAGTTTGGCGTATTTGACTGCCAAGTTCCTTCGTTTTTGTTTCATGTGTGCTTTTGTGTATGAATCAGTCAACATGCAGCTCATTCTCCGAGAATAATAACGGAGCGGCCGGGAGAATGAAAGCTCGCTGGCATGTCGAGTGGCCTTTACGAGCTTCGGAACACTTTGAATTGATGAAGGCGTCGTATCGTCTGATGTGCATTCATCATCTGACATCGCAGCGTCTGCCTTGATCAGAAATAAGACTTGGAAATGGTTACTCCTTTTAAAGGGAAAAAAAAAAAAAAACAGGACTTTTCATTGTCGGGTGTGAGATGCGTAATGCATAGAATTTTTACAATATGCAAGCATCATTTAATTTTCAGGAACAGTATGACCAAAGGGAGCCGTACATGTTACAATAGTCAATTGCACATTGATGTTGTACTCTGGAAATAACCTTTCAAGCGGAGTTTCTATGAATTCGATGAATTGATGGAATTATTGATGTGATAATAAATTGCAACAACATTGGAGAGTGACAGCTGTATTTTCCATGCATTCTAATTAGCAAAACGAGCAAGCCATCGCGCCTGTGGTCAAAGTCAAACACGAATGGCATTTTCAGGTTGGAACCTCGTGACCTGAGATGGCACCGTGTGAAGCAAGACCACGGTTTTGTTTCCGGGAGCGAGAATGAGATGAATTGCCTTTTCGCCATTCTCACCATGACAACTTCCTCGGCAATTAGCGCCGGCTTTGGATTTGAAAGAACAACAGATGCGCAAAAAAAAAAAAAAAAAAATGCGGAGCAGTGATTACGACTTCAAAAAAAGCTATTATTATTCTCGCTTACATGATTCAAACCTTATCTGGGAAATATGCCGGGTGGGTGAACTTCCTCTAATTGCTTTTCTGCAGCGGGGGTTGCCTTT